CACCAACCTGCTTCCCGGAGCAGGTGCCTACTCTTTTACGCCCTCCGCCAAGTTCCAACAGGCTCTGCGACTTGGAACAGGTTAAAAATATAACATGCTAGTTAGGAGTTCCCGGAAAGGAAAAGGGGATCTCTCCGCAGCGACTGGGGATCCCGTGGCCTCGATTCATAGCCTCCTGGCGATGCAGTAGGGTTACTTCTGGTGCTGCTGGCTATATCTATCTATCTATCTATCTATCTATCTATCTATCTATCTATCTATCTATCTATCTATCTATCTATCTATCTATCTATCTATCATCTATCTATCTATCTATCTATCTATCATCTATCATCTCTCTCTCTCTCTCTCTCTCTCTCTCTCTCTCTCTCTCTATCATTTATCGTCTATCTATCCCATTTCCCCCCCCTCCAATGAACGCGAAGGTGGCATTTGCGGTTCTCCTCATTTAATCCCCACAACAACCCTGAGAGTTAGGGACTGAGAGGCAGTGGGGCAAGGGTGCGCAGACAATTTCATGGGCAGTGTGGTGCAGTGGGTAGAGTGTTGGACTAGGACCTAAGATACTAGGGTTCACATCCCCAGTCGACCATGGAGCTCGCTAGGTGATCTTGGAAACAGTCACTGCCTCTCAGCCTAACCTACCTCACAGGGTTATTGTGATTGATCATCGTAATCATTTTGACCTCCCACGGTCCAAATCCGGCAGTCTAATCTCTACACCACCACTGGCTTTCCTTTCCTTTCCTTTCCTTTCCTTCCTTCCTTTCCTTTCCTTTCCTTTCCTTTCCTTTCCTTTCCTTTCCTTTCCTTCCTTTCCTTTCCTTTCCTTCCTTCCCTTCCTTCCCTTCCCTTCCCTTCCCTTCCCTTTCCGCAGCCGTTTTGGGTTTGTAACTACCTGGAGTCAATGACCGACCCACTTTTTGGGGGCCCTGAAGCTTGAAGCCTGAAGCCTCTTTGCAACCAGCAACAGGTCTGGGTAACTACTATTATCTTCTTCAATGCGGTTGTTTGCAACAACCTTTACAACATCTGTGCTATTGACTCTCAAACTTTGGGTTTGTTAAAATATATACAAAAAACCCCCAAGCAATTTCACTCAAATCCATGCAACTCAAATTAGGTCTACTAGACCCATTTTTAAAAAGCGATTTGGAATGAGGTTGCTTCTGGGGCCCCTGCGAGATACGGGGCCTTGAAGCTGAAGCTTCATTAGTTTCAGAGTAGACCCGTCCCTGCCTGGAGCGGTGATCTCAGTGCAACCTGCAATCGTTGGCGTAGCCGGGATTTTTGTTAGAGGGATTTGTATTTATTTTTATTGATTTAGGGGGGGGGCAAGTTGCCTCTCCTACCCCCACCCCCATGCGCGCAGTGTCGTTAGATCCGTACCGGGGTTTACAAAAGATCAGGCCAAAGTCTCCTGTGGTGGTCACAGTGGCCAACCCACCGCCTCCAAGGGAATCCCAGAAGCAGGTCCTGAGCGCAGCGGCGCTCTCCTCGCCTGCGATTCCTAGCCATTGGCCTTCGCTCCGAGATTGCAGGTGGTACATTGCCATATCCTCAATGAATCCCCGAATTCCTACGCTTGTTCAGAAGTCAGTCCGGCAGAGTTCGATGGGTGCTATCCTATCCTAGGCACCCGCTTTCCTGGGAGGATGTTTCACTTAACACAGTGGGGGTTGCTCCAGATTAAAATTGGCTTGGGTCTGTGCGGCTGGCTTCGTTTATTTATTTTAGCTGAGAGTCCCCGTTCGAAATTTACCAAAGTCCACCTCCTTCAAACGTTGGTTTTCTCCACCAACATCTATGCAGTTTAGGGAAGAATATAAGGAAGCAGATGGGAGGTTGTATACTAGTTTTGGAGAGTCATCTACTTTCAGATGATATTTCAGGTAAAGTATTTTCAGCCCGGTGGGAGAGCGTCTGTTTTGGACGCAGACAGTAGCATAGGAAGGCAGGGGCAGGGCGACTGGGAGACACAGTCCCTCCGGGTGCTTGGGTAGGGCGATGTCCCACAAAAAGCTCAGCAGCTTTGGGTGATCACCGGCGGGAGTTGCTACGCCAGTGCACACAGAAGGTCTCCGGTTGGACCCCGGGCATCTCCAGGTAGGGTTGGGAGATAGACGTCCTGTCTGAATTGCTAGAAAGGCGCTGCCAATGGGATAAAGCAGCTTCTTGTTCGTCCACTCTCTGTCTCAAGGTGCTCACACAGTTTAGCCAACAAACCTAAGTAGTTATAAAATCCACTGGTTGAACACACACACACACACACACACACACACACACACACACACACGTGTCAGTGGCACTGGTACCAGGATTGCGCAGAGCTTAAGCACGTGTTTACAGCTGCAAGCCCATATAGATTTCCTAGCATAGAAGGCAGTCACTGAATTTACTCCCAAGCAAACGCGCATGGAAGCAAACTGCGGATTTATTCCCACGGATGAGAAGCGGCTACAAAAACGCTTGAATTGGAATCGCGATCTGAACTTGTGTGTGTGTGTGTGTGTGTGTGCGTGCCTGCGTGTAAAAAAAGTCTAGGCGCGCACTATCAGCAGCCTTCCGCGGGAATAAGGTCCATAGGCGACCTGTTGACGATCAGGACCTAAACGGTCATCTCTGCCTGCGCCCTATTGCACTACGCATCGGAAACCCGCTTCATTGCGATTAATATAATCTATCAAGTAAACACGATTTAGAAACCACGAACTCATTATCTCCCTTTGGGGTCAGGATCCAATTGTCCAAAAATGGTTTTTGGAAAGTGGTAGGACTTCGGTGATGGAAAAGTTATATAGGAGGAATTGATATCGCGACTGCAGACATGACAGTGATTTCCTCAGGCATATGTGTTTTACATTTATTTCAGCATGAAAGTCAAACAGGAGTGTGAAAACTTCCCTCGGAAATGCATGGGGTTTAGACGTTTGTTTGCCAGTGGTGCCAAGTTGAATAAAATTTTGGGAGAGCCCAGGTGAGCCCCGTCGACATAATCGATCATAATACGAGGCTCGCACACACCATTTGAATAATAATGCCCGTCAACCTGGGGGGGGGGGAGGTAGCACTCTCAAATATTTTAATGGGGAGGCGGCAAAGGGACTTTGGCCCCTAGGAATTAACTCCTAAGATTGGCTCAATGCATAATAATGGGTTGTATCCGACTAACTCAGAGTAGACCCACTGAAATAAAGGAACTTGATTCTATAATCTAGTCGAATTAATAATAATAATAATAATAATAATAATAATAATAATAACAATACAGCCCTGTTCCTGTGACTGTATTATGTTTTAACAGTTTTAAATTGTTGTATCCTCCCCAGGGGATCTGTTGGTAAAGGGCAGGTCATAAATTTTATCATAATCATAATCATAATTCAACAATAGTTCTCATTTAATTATATTGATGTTTGTTTTAACTTTTTTAAAAATCCGTAAAAACACACGGATTCATCATTCATGGATTTTAATCCTACCTGGGCATAAACCAGAAGCCGGTTTAATGGACTGAAATTGAATTTATTTTTCAGTGCTGGGAAGTGGGATCCAGATCATTCCTACTCTCTATCCCGCCCCTTCCCAACACATTTCATGTCCATTGTTTCCACTGTGACTTCCAACACCTGCTGGAATCTCTCCTGATGAAATCAATGGCGCTTTTGTTTGTTTGTTTGTTTGTTTGTTTGTTTGTTTGTTTGTTTTTTAAACAACAGCTTATGAACGGATTGTCCGACCTCCCCTTGTTAGGGATGCCATTCTGAGAACCTGCACGCGACCTTCGCCCCCTCCCAGCCCAAAATAAACGAGTGATTTCAAATCTGTGGGGGTATTTTATTTATTTCAGCCGCGTTGATCAGCCGCCCAGACACTGCGTTATCCAAGCTGCTTACAAAGCATATCTCAGGAAAATGCAGCAATAAATCCAGAATGAAAATAAATAAATCAGTAAACACATTCTCACAAGTACATTGCGCGGGGGGGGGGGGCGTTTCCCTGGATTCTACAGGAAGGGGTGGGGGACACACACACACAATCCCATTTTATTTTTTTATTCGATTTCAGTAAATCCAGCGATGGGGATATCAAGGGGTAGCCCACAGACCTTTCCCTCCCCACGCCACAAATAAGAGCCGTTTCCAGATTTCTGATGAGACTGGCGTGGGGGGGGGGAGAGACCTTTAGGGGTCCCGTTTCATAAGGTACAACTGCAATCGCCATTTCCTTCCCCGTTCCTTTGATCCCACCAATGTGCTAAAATTCCATTCGCTCTGTTTAAAACGCGGGTGGGGGGGTGGGGGGTGGGAGGCGAATCCCAGTCAGGCAGTTCGGGTGAAATCCAACGGGAGCCCAGCACGGCAAACGTGGCTCTTTTGTGCCGGATGACTCGCTTGAGAATTTTTAATTTATTTAATTTATTTAGGCGGGGGGGGGGTATTTAAAAATAATAAAAACAGGTTTGCGTTTGATAGTGTAACGTCCACATCATATGTGTACACACGTACACGTACACACACACACACACACACACACACACACAAGCAAACAAACTCTTGCCTCGCGTACTCGAATAAGCTCTACCGAAGGAATTTGAAAACAGTTTGTCTCCTAAGTGCCACGACGATTGGTAATAATGAGCAATCATAGCGCCTATAAATAATACTGCGTTGTATGTAAATTCTAAGCAGAGTAAGCCCGCTGAAATAAATGAACCCTAAGTAGGCCCTCTCTACTGATTTCAGTGGGTCTACTCTGAGTGGAACTAACACTGGGTGGTAGCCCCAAAATAGCCAAACAAAACGGGAAGGAAAGGATGAATGAGATAATAAATTTCGAAACAAAATAAAATTGACCCCCCCCCGCCATTTTTTTTAAAAAAGGCTTCTTTTCTCTTTGTCAAACAGATGGAGAAAAAAACCCAAATATCTCAAAGAAGGCTTTCACTAAGCTTAATTCAAACGTCTTCTTCTAGAAATGAGACGAAGGATTAAGGATAGATACAACAGACGGAAGGAAACGCGACCAGGATTGTGGAAACAACTCGGCGAAGATATACTCCGGTACGATATTTTCATGATCGTCCCTAATATGAGATTATGATACATATTGCATCGATAGCCTGAGCGTTACCGATGTATATATACATAACATCTCTTCTTCCCCTAACGACTTTGAGCAATATATTCTGCGGTAGCTAAATTGTCTCAAATACGCAGGAACTTTCGCTCTTCCTTCGTTCTTGCTTCCTGACCTAGTCCTAGACAAAACTAAAGACGTGTAAAGGCAGGCTTTTAACACCCACACCACCACCACTTATAGTAATATAATAAATGACGGTGGCAATATGAACGCTATCCCGAGTCCCTGGAAGACCCACACTGCTTCTTCCCTACTTGTATTTGGGTAGGGGGCAGTTAAAATCTTTGTGTTTAATATGGTTTTTTGTGGGGTTTTTTTGGTATGTTCCTAGTTGTTTTGGCTGTTGTGAAATTTACTGTTTTTTGCTGTTTGCTTAATATTTATTTGTGCTTTACTTGAACACTGCTCTGATTCCATTAGAGAGCAAGAACGGGATTTAAAGGATGTTAAACAAATTAAGGATATTAATAGTTACTTTGCAGCATTGTTAATATGAATTAAAGAAGGCAATATTTATTACTGCAGTTAATGCTATATCATATATGATATTGTATAAAATATACTATCCATACAAATTAAATAAATTAATATTTCTTAGTATCATTATCAATGTGTTCATGAATTATTAGTAATACTATTATTAACATTGTTAATATTATTAACTTTTATTAGTTAATAGTTAACCATGTTACTATTGTTGTCGTTGTTTATTTTCAATAACCGCATTTCCCCTCTAGTTTGAGAATTCTAGCGAGCGTCTCAAACCTTTTTCGTTGGCCGCCACAAGATTTAAACATTTGGCGAGATTAGGTCGATCATTCTGTACATCAGCGTTTCTGTCAATTTGCAGGTATTTGAAGGAAATTAGAAGAGAGAGGGAGAAGTCAAAGTGAAAATAAAATAAATCAAATAAACCCAAGATTCTCGAGTCTAGTTGCCCAGTTCATTAATAATAATAAATAATAGCATGAAAGTTATTGAGGGTTTTCTAAGTTGGTGTAAGGTTGAGGATGGGCGCTCCCCTCCAATTCCTTTTTTCTGTTTTTCTAAAGGACAATTATTCTAACTATGCACTTATTTTGAAGAACAATAACCACGATGGATGGCACCGAGGCCAGGCTATCCAAGGTCATTTGACATTCTGTGGCTGTATCTATCCTTATACAGGTATCAGATCCCTTTTCGTAAAAGCCATTCATCATCATATTATTAATAACCATTATCACGACTGGCAATCAGCCTCGTCTAGAACGATCGGCTGTTGCGCGCTACTTGCGGATTCCTATCTACTCTTCCGCCCTTTGAAGTTTCTACCTCGTGGGGAATTCTTTTTAAAAAATAAAAATAAGAAATTGTCCGCTCGGAGGCTTTGGATCACTCAAAGAAGCGCTGACGTCGCTCTTCCAAATTGGTGTGAAATCGGATTTCAGCCTCTCCCTTCTCTGCTTTTTCTTCTCCCCTCGACAGAGCTGGCGCCCCACCCTGCCCGATCCCAGGCTTTGGCGAGGCGTCTCTGTGGCCGGGCCCGAGGGACCAGGCGCCCCGATGGCGAGGAGGAGGAGAAGAAGCAAGGCCGAGAATCGGTCCCCAAGGGTCGCCCAGAGGACCCTCTCTCCGCTCCCTTCCATTACTTTGCATCGCGCGCCAAGCCCTCCGGATTCCCGAAAAGGCCTGGCCAGGCGACGCTGCCTCTCCCTGACGGGCTGTCACATTCACCTCCAAGAAAGTGGGAATCTCCGACGACGCGTGTGTCTGTGGATTGCTCAGGCGCCCCCTGGAACGGGTGGGACCGGGAGCGCAACCGCATTGAAGTAAAAACTGAGTTGTTTGTTTTTCCCCTTCTCCCGCGCTATCTAGGCGAGGGAAGTCTTGGTGTCAGGGCTACGGGAACATCCTGGTTTGAGGAAGGAAAAGCGCGACTGATCTTTCACCGTGGAACCCCCTCTCCCCACAAAGCCATACACAGTCCCGCACGTTTGGGTCCAGAAATACTTCTCATTTATTGGCTGTTGTTTTGAGACGGGATTACTGAGACATCATTTTACCCCTCTTTCCTCAAACCCCATGTCACATCCACATGTAAAGAAGTCCTATAACACTTTAATTGTAGTTCTGTGAGAGCAACACTCTTAACAGGCTATGGTCCTCAGGATTCTTTGGGGGAAGCCATCATTGTTTAAAGTGGGGCAAACATATGATGAGCGTGTGACTCCAGTCTGTTCCGTACATTTCCCATTCGGTATGTCCTGCCCCCCCCCGTTGATGTCAGGCAGCATCTGTGGAACTCTCTGCCTCATTGACATCTGCTGCCCTACAATCCTAACCCCTATTTTGCCGTCTACTGAAGACCAGAGCTGAAACTGTAGATTTCCTCCCACCCCGCCGCCCCCAGACTTTATCTCTCAGAGCCCACAAGACATGAAAATGTTGACATCTGTTTATTCCCACCTTTTGGTAGGGGTGTACGAAGGGGGGGGGGCAGGGGGCAGTCCGCCCTGGGTGCCACCCTGATGGGGGTGACAAGATGGTATTCTGCCTCACCCCAGCTGTAGAGCGGCCAAGAGCATGCACACAGCGTGTGTATGGGCTGCTGTGCATCCACTGTCTGTACGGGCGCCGCACATGTGCATTCTGTACAGTCGCCACACATGCGCAGTTTGAGACCGCACTGACCTATCTATTCTGAATGTTCTTATGTGATGCCAATAAAGGTGACTTGACTTAACTTGACATGCACAGTCTGTATGGGCACCACACGGGTGCTGCCAGGTGGTTAGCCCTGCCCCTCGGCACCCTGCCTTTTGGTATACTTCTTAATAGGTAGGGGGGGGGACTTGGTTAGGGTGGGGTAGGACTTTTGTTGGGGGGACAGATATGATGTAATTGGTCAGTTAAGTATTTCTATTGTTTTACAAGGGGGACAGCTGCCCCTCCCCCCCCGGCTATGCCCCTGCCTCAGTGCTTTTTTTCCTAAAAAATGTTTAGGCGTACTCTCATTTTCCTACTCATATTGAAATACTGCTCCTCAATGAGGCCAAACTTAGATTCACAAAACGTTTAGGGGTATGCGTACCCCTGCGTCCCCCCCCCAGAAAAAAAGCACTGCTCTCCATGATATTGTTATCACTATTATTATCTGGCCCTTCACCCTAAGTTCCCAGGGCAGGTTACAACAATTAGAGCACCATGTTCAAAACAGTTTTAAACAACTTGCAACCACAGAAATGAGGCGGGTCCTTAAAATATGCAACTCTTTTGTCAAAAGCCAGGATAAAAGGGTGCATCTTTAGCTGTGTTGGCAAAGGCTGGTGGAAGTTCTATTACTCCAGCTACAGCAAGCTCCCTGTTGCAGCGGGTTGCCAACCTTTCTTTTCCTCACAAAGCAACAATTCCTATAGTTCCCTGTGAAGAAGGACTGACAGTTAAACCACTCTGAGAAGAATCATAGGTCTGTGAGGGGAATAAAAGGTAAAGGTAAAAGGACCCCTGACCATTAGGTCCAGTCGTGGCCGACTCTGGGGTTGCGGAGCTCATCTCGCTTTACTGGCCAAGGGAGCCAGCGTACAGCATGACTAAGCCGCTTCTGGCGAACCAGAGCAGCGCACGGAAACGCCGTTTACCTTCCCACCGGAGTGGTGCCTATTCATCTACTTGCACTGTGACATGCTTTTGAACTGCTAGGTTGGCAGGAGCAGGGACCGAGCAACGGGAGCTCACCCCGTCGCAGGGATTCGAACCGCCGACCTTCTGATTGGCAAGCCCTAGGCTCTGTGGTTTAACCCACAGCGAATAGGGCCCTCCTAACAACTCTCAGCACCCTGAACATTTTGCAGCTCCCAGGATGCATTGGGGAAGCCATGACTGTTGAAACTGACATGATACTGCTTTAACTGTGAAGTGCAGATGGGGACTCAGTCTTGCAGTAGGAATGTTTCTCTGATTGGTTCACATCCACACCATACATTCATTTGTGTAGCGGGGGGGGGGGGCGGCAGGGAGGGGCAGCTGCTCCCCCTAAATCAATAAAAATTAATAAAAATACATAGCTAAGAGGTTTCCCCCCCAAAAAGGCCTTGCCCCCCTAAGAAAAATCCTGGCTACACCCATGCATAGATTTAAAGGACTCATTCACCACTTTAACTGTCACAAAGTACCCTGGGAATTGTAGTTCGTTCATGGTGAAGGAAATTATAGCTTTGTGAGGTCAGCACCCTGGGGAGCTGGGAAGCCACGACTCACAGAGTGGTGCAAGAGTCCTTGAAATGTATTGCACAGGTACATAGCAAGTTTTCTCTCTCCTCTAACAGCTGCTTGGCATTTTGTGTCAGTTGAGCACATGCAGTTCCCATGGGGTTATTTAAATCCCTCCCTCTTTAGGAGCCTGCAAAATCTTTGTTCTGTAAAACTTGGACTTCCTCCAAACCTCCTATTATTCCAGGGGCATGGCACCATTTGCCAGGGGAGGTGCATGTGCATGTGCCCCAAGTGGGGGCAGAGTGTGCTCGTCCAGCCCTTGCCCCAGGTGTCACCACCGGTGGGTGCTTGAGCACTGGGTGGGGCAAGCAGGGCGCATGATGGGGATCTCTGCGGTGTGCGTGCGTGCCTGGTTGACACCCCCTCCGATTGTGTGCCCGGGGCAATGGCCCCCCGGCCCCCCAATGCTACACCACCGTGTTATTCCCCTCTTCTGCATGAGTGGAGCTTTTTGGTTATGTAAGGACTAGCACATAGAGAATCAAGATCATATCAGTGTATATATAATATGTGAGCCTTACCTGCAACAAAATGTTACAGCATGATTCCAGCTGCTTCGTTCCACTATCACCACCCTAGTTTTCACACAGTACTCAGTTAGCATTTAGTTATGTCCTCATAAACGTTGTTTTGACATTTGAGCTTCCCTTATAATTTTCTTCGCTTGTGGACGACTTTAAATCTACCACTACCCCTTTCCCCCACCATTGATTTTCTCTCTCTTTCTCTCTCTCCCATCAAGGTTCATCACTGGCACATCTGAAGCATGACCAATCTTGTCACCCTCAGTCGGACCCTAATTTATGAACTGGGCTGGTGGGGATGAGCTTGGGTCTTTAAGAAGTCAGCATTTCAGAAAGTTCCCCCCTTAAGAGACATCTCACCTCCTTGGGACTGAAAGGTTATCAGGAACGATAAATGGTTTCACCTTCGGCCTTTTTTTGACATTTGATGGATGAGATCAGCTTGATGGAAGCCTCTTTGCTCTAATTAGCTACACTCCGCTCTAAATTGTTTTAACACCTTCCCTTTGCTCTGGATGAAGTTATGTTGGCATGCCCTAACCTGTAAATTCAGACTTGCCCCATCACCTGTAGCATCAGTTGACATATGATTTTCTTTTGCTCTCTGATTGATGGATAGTCCTCATGATACCAAGGCTTTGGGATAATGCTATGTTCATTATAAACCATCCCCATGACATTGGACACATTAAAGGTAAAGGTACCCCTGCCCATACGGGCCAGTCTTGCCAGACTCGAGGGTTGTGCGCTCATCTCACTCTATAGGCCGGGACCCAGCGCTGTCCGCAGACACTTCCGGGTCACGTGGCCAGCGTGACAAGCTGCATCTGGCGAGCCAGCGCAGCACACGGAACGCCGTTTACCTTCCCGCTAGTAAGCGGTCCCTATTTATCTACTTGCACCCGGGGGTGCTTTCGAACTGCTAGGTTGGCAGGCGCTGGGACCAAGCAACGGGAGCGCACCCCGCCGCGGGGTTGCGAACTGCCGACCATACGATCGGCAAGTCCTAGGCGCTGAGGTTTTACCCACAGCGCCACCCGCGTCCCTATTGGACACATTGGAACCATGCATTTAAAGCACCAATATACCACTGTAAACAGACATGGCTTCTCCCAAAGAATTCTGGGAGCTGTAGTTTGCTAAGGATGCTGAGAGTTGCTAGGAGACCCCGCTATTCTCAGGGAATTCTGGGAATTACTTTCCATCCAGGCCTCACATAAGCATGGAGCTGAATTATGTGAATTCCTGAGATAGTAAAAAGAAAAACAAAGGATTGTAGAGTTTAAGATTACAGGTGCAGCTCACATTTTTATTTTTATTTTTGGAATGCTCCCCATGTCTTCATTGTTTTTATTAAAAATTGTTTTCATTGTTGGTCTTTGTTACTGTTAAATCCCTTTGAGCTGTTTCACAATATGTGGTTTATAAACTGAGTCAACAAATTAATAATCAATCAATCAACTAATTGAAAAATCAGTTTTTCAGCAAGTATAGAGTCACAGAACATAGAGTTTTAGAGTTAGAAGGGGTCCCAAGGGTTATCTAGTCCAACCCCATGGAAAGCAGGAATTCTCAGCTAAAGCACCTGTGACCAGATGGCCATCCAGCCTCTGCTTAAAAACCTCTAAGGAAGGAGAGCCCACCATCTCCCAAGGGAGTCTGTTCCACTGCCAAACAGCTCTTACAGTCAGAATGTTCTTCCTGATATTTAGTCAGAATCTCCTCTCTTGTAACTTGAAGCTATTGATTTGGGTGCTACAGAGCAGGAGAAAACAAGTCTTCCATGGCACAGCCCTCTTTAAGATAGCTGAAGATAGCTATCATGTCTCCTCTCAGTCTCCTTTTCTCCAGGCTAAATATACCCAGCTCCTTCAACTGTTCCTCATAAGGCTTGGTTTCCAGACACTGGATCATCTTGGTTGCCTTCCTGTGCACACATTGTAACTTGTCAATGTGCTTCTTAAACTGTGGTGTTTAGAATTGGACACAGTACTCCAGGACAGTTTCCCCCAGTTTCCCAAGCAGAAACACTAGCATAGCAAGCTAGTGCAAAACCATTCTCTCAGATACTATAGAATTTTTAAATTTAATTGCAGGGAGTTGTGTGTGTGTGTGTGTTAATATGTGCTTTCAAAACTGTGACACCCCCATTGCAATTTGAAGTGGTACAATCCATGCTGTCCCTGCTGAACTCTGCCACCCTGGATTCTACCACTTCTCTCTTTCTGGCATGATTTCTTGGTGTGTGTGGGGGGTGATCTTATTTTTGTACCCAGCACACAATTTATTATTATTATTATTATTTTACTGAGCATCGTCTGTTTGGAAGGAAAAAAATCTGGCCCATCTCCCAGGTGGAATGTGTCTTTCTGAAATACAACCACCTCAGGAGAGAGAGAAAAAAATCTTAAATATGAATTACAATTCTTATATGAAAGACAGATGTGAACTGTTAAAAATGTTTATAATGTGGCTTAACATTAAAAAAAACACCTATTAACGAAGGGAGCTTCGCTGATGGGGATTGTTTGGCATGAGGGATTAATTACAAGGCTTTCACCTCTCGAACTGTCGTCTTAAGCCAGTCAAGACCCAAAGCAGCTAAGCAGATAGAATTTGTTTGTGTATTTTAGAATGGTATAGGAGTCCATTCAACTGGGGGGCTTTGGAGGGAGGGAGAGGCTGTTTTATCCCACTGCTTTTCAATCAAAGGCCAAACTCTTTTCCAATTTTAATCCCATGGTAAAGAAATATCATCTTAAATAAGATCATCTGTCAATAAACACAGTCAGGGTAACCACCCTGCCCCCCCAACATGCATTCCTTAAGAACTCTAAGTTTTAAGGGACAGATTGGATGTAATATACTTTTTAAAAACATGATGAGTAACAGAACACACACACACACACATACTCACACATATTTTTAACACACATATAAACTTCTT